AGTGTCCCCACCGGTTTCGGTCCTATCGCCAGTATAGGACCATCATCAGGGGACTTCCGATGAGCGCTTGGAGAACTGTAGCGAACTGCTGCTTTAATACATTCCTTGTGCCGTCGAAATACTTCACTCACGGATTGGTGCGCTATCTCCGATACGTGTTTTTTCAAAGCCCAAGAAAAATGGTGTCATGATTTCCCTAAAGATTATTCCGAGCGGGATCTGTGGGGAGTGGGAAGCAGCAGATCAGAAAAAAGCGGGAAATAGCAGATCAGAAAAGGCGGGAAGTAGCAGATCAGAAAAGCGGGAAAAAAACCAACGTTATGGGACAGTCGTGGTAGATGAGGACAAATGCCGTCAGAGGCTATGGACAGAATCTGGAAAAGACCATAGATCAGATCAGCATGAAGCACCGATATCCAGGAAGAGACAAGCGAGATGAAGAGAATCGTACAGTGGCCGACGATGGAGACAGAATGTTCGGCAGTAGCCAGCTGTGAGGTGACCCAGGTTCATTCGACTGGTATCCTACTATGCTGTATTTTCCTGGCAGTTACGTTTACTACTCTATGGATCTACCCTTATTCCTCAGAAGATTCATGCGCAGAAGGAACTGTTTCTATGTCTCCATGTTTACTTCTACGTGCGTCTAATAACCGCTGTCCCTTTCTTCTTATTCCCTAGCCCCAACTCAAAAAACTCCGCCCACCCATCCAGGACCCCTTGGTGGTCCTTAGAAACCTCCCGAACGATTTTGAAAAAGAGATACCCGGGAAAACTTCTCAAACGCATTTCCCGTCTTAAAGCCAAAAGTGCCATACCCACCCCTCCATACTCTGAGGAGTGGGTAACTAATCTGTGAACTTGACACTTCAATGAAGCCTTCTTATGGTGCTCGGGACCAAAGGACCAGTAATCCTTAGTAGACATAATTTTGATAGGCTTCTCACCCCAGATGGATGCCTGATTCTTGAAGGTAGTGACACACCAGATGTGTGGTGGACTTGCAGCGCAGATGATTTGGCAGCCGATAAAGTCCCATTTACCAGTCCCATCATCGGTTCTTATCAAGGACAAATTAGAGTCGTAGGCTCTGAGGAATCGATCCAACAGGTATGCACCTTTCCTTTTGGAGACTGCGTCCTTGTTAGGCAATAGTACAAAGAGACAGACATCGTCGACCAAACGAAGACCAGACAGGTATCTTGCATCAGTCCCAATCGCCTTCAAGAATGTAAACTCGTTGTACGAACACAGCAAGCATGCTAGCGCCGGGCTTGAACTCTTGCCCATCGGGATGCCAATAACCTGTTTAACAACCTTTCCTGCCACACACGCATATGTGTTACAAAGGTCAAACTCTACGAACCGAATGATAGTAGAGAATTTCAGTGTAATCCATCCTGTTTCACCAAAACTCTTCGAGAAACTGGCTCCTTTCCCGAACTTGCTAACCCACACACTGTTATGACCCTCGCCCATAGTCAAGTTGCACACCCAGTTCACTGCTTCCATAATTGACTTATGCGGTAGCTTAGTAAACATCTCCTTGATATCGAAACTGGCGGCCAGCAAACAACCGCCCTCGATTTTGGCAGCTTGCTTATCCAAACTTAGAATTCTAGATCTGAGAAGGTTGGTGGACTTCAGATTGAAGTGAGATTTCGAGGGAAGGTTCCACAAAAGAAAATTAATTGCTCTGGCTACAATTTTGCAGGCCTTTACACTTGGCTCAGCAAATGACGGAGAGATCGGTCGCCACCTGGTAGTATCTTTGTGTTTAGGAATACCATAACAGTTGCCTAACATGCCCCTGCTGTTCCAAGGTGCAATGCTATTGGCACCGATGGCCACATATTCCCTCCTACAAGACAGCAAAACTTCGGCCTGGCTATGCTTCACTACTTCAAAACCCGAGTTCTTCCAGAAAAGCACAGCAAGAGCTTGGAAGTACACTTTTTTGCAACAAACCAATGTATCCCCGATGTTATGGTCTATTGGACATGCGACCAATCCCATTAGCCTGTCCTTCCATTTCGTCAAGGATTGAAGCCTGCCATCTATCTCAGGAAGGTTGTTCTTAAAGCAGCGGGCCAACTCGTGGTTCTTAATCATCGGTTCACCTGGGAGTCCGTCCAGGCAGCTTTCCAACATCCTACGGATAGCTCCCCTAGTTACTTCCTTGCCCGGGGGCAGCGAATTTCTGGAGTACTAGTAACCCAGGGATGTCAGAAAAATCGGAAAAACGGAAACAAACATGGCCATCCTCATTTCTCGGAAGATTGCAATATCGCGAGTCGCAGTGACACTCGAACTCTAAATCTTTGGCAGTCTGCCTGTGATTGTGCAGATGGTTCCCGATCGTCTTAGGGCTTGTCCAAACAAAACGCAGACGTGAGATCATAAATTCAGCAACACATAGGGGTTTGCACCGACGACGGACCTCCTTTTTAACCAACCGAACACATTCCATTTTAATAACTTTTTCCGAAAAAACACTCTTAATCGTGATAGCAGTTAGACATTTGAAACCAGTTTTTCTTTTTAGAATCCGCCCCACAATACCCTTCAGGATGGATCTTGTCCTTCCATTGCTAAATGACTCAGTACAATTGTATAGCTTAATAAGCGCCGCAACCTCAAAACCATACAGCATTTTTCTGCATATAGGCAGCTGCAGGAGCGAAAGCAGCACAAACTTCCTCTGTCGCGTCAAACTATCCTGCAGTCTGATATGCAGAATGGTGAACGTACCCCCGTTGCAAATGTGCAACTTACAATCCTTCAAAAGCAACTTTTGATCCTCATATTCGATTATCGACCACCCAAACTTCTTTCTTAGGCGGTCCCATCCATCGAAAAAAAGATCCCCTCCCTTAGTCCTAATAGTAGCCGTGAAAGTTTTTGAAGCAACAGCATCTGCCAGGGCAGCACTCAGAGAGAAAGAGGATACCGATTTCGGAGGGAATAGGGCACTACCCACAGAAACTTTCCAAACAATCAAATTTCCACCCTTGGAACTAGTTCTGCACCCCCCATTCATGTTCAGCGCCAAAGCCTTACGTTCTCTTCTTCCTTTCCTTTTGCAACCACCCTTCCTTTTTTCTTCTGTGTATTAAGCGCCAGATTCCATCTAGCGATGCACGAATATTCCACATTTCTAAGCTCCGTACTATTAGTCGTGAGTAGAGGGATAGCAACATAACTTTCCCAGCCCCTGGCAGCTAGCCATCTTCTGAGCTTATGGTTCCTTCTGCTGGACACCTGCTTGACTGACGCAGCGTGCTCCTCCCATCTTTCCGTAATACCCCTACTTGTAGACCCTATATACGTAGCTTTATACCAAGGTGATATTGGGACGTAGACACAACAACCTCTTCCTTCACATACGTCATATCCATCGTTCACGGAGGCCAGCCATTGATCAAGGAACTTAGTCCCCCAACGGATTTGACCAACCAAGGTTAACAGCAGGACAAACAGTCTGAACCTTTGCTCCAGCTCTCGTGTGCCCTTCTTCAGTCTTAGCCTGGAGCTTGTTCAACTGTTGCCACAACCATTTCGGGTCCCGGTAAGAATCAAGAAGGATTCTCTTCTTGAGCTCCCTCGGTTGTCTCTTCTACGTTTTCCTCCTCCTCTTCCTCCTCTTCTTCTTCCAAATCCCCATACGCGTCCTTGACACGGATGGCCGTCAGATCATCAACTGCTTGTTTCTTGTTGTGATACTTGATCTTATCCTTCTTGCAGAGGTCCACCAGTTCGTTCTTGTATTTGGCCATAAGCTCCCTTTCCATATCCGAACGGTACTGCCTTCTTCCACCTGGTCCTGGATTCGCCACAACCGCCTTGGTACCCTCCCTTACTCGGTCGAACCCAAGTCCAGAGGGGGTGCCCAGTCTGACCGCAGAGAGAGACCCAGACATCCGCCTGGCTGTTCCGGCTACGGAGGCGAAGACATCAGCAAGCCTACCCGACGATCTTCCTGCAGTAGGGGTTGACTCGCTGCGTTCCCTCGAAGGTCCAGGTGCATCCCGCCCTGGATTCACTGGGGTCGCTGCCATACTACGGGTTACTGGCCTATTCCCCGCTTGCTGAGCAGGTTCCCGTATCACAACTCCAGCGGCTCTTCTAGCAGTAGGGGCCGGGTGAGTTGGGGGAGGAGAAGGTGGTGGTGGTGGAGAAGGTGGGTGGGTTGGGCTTGGCGGAGGTTGCTGATGTACAACAGGTGGTGAAGAAGAACGAGTGGGAGGTGGGGGCTGGTCATTACGTGCGTGAGTAGGGTTGTGGGGTTGTGTTGGAGCGATAGGGTTGGGTGGAGGGGCCATAGGCGGAATAATACGGATAGGCGGAGGACGTTGCGACGGCCCTGCTGCTGTTGCCACCGGAGCAGCTGCTTGCATCTGCGGGTTGGCAGATCCGTTTTTTGGAGCAGGTGCCACCACTGGTTGGTTCATGCACTGAGCTTCGAATCTTTCCATCATACTCACCATGCGCTCGAACATCAAGTTGAGCCTGCGTTCGTTGAACGTTGTCAATGTTCATCAATAGCAGCCCAGCGTCGAGAGCACCAACTTCATCCGCTTTCTTCCTTGGCGTAGACGATTGTCCAGCTGCTGCGCCTGCGATCTCCTCCTGACCTCTCTTTTTGTTCTCACCGCTCGTCGCAAATTTTTCTCCCTCCGATACTTCCGTGTCTTTGCCTTTTCCCAGTCTTTCCCAAATCTTCTTATTATCCTCCTCCCTCTTTGAATCCATCTCTCTCATTCTATCATCCAACAACTTAGCCAATCTGGCCTCCTTCTCTGCCTCTTTCTGAGCCGCTTCTTCAGCCCTTTTCGCCTCAGCGTCTCTCGCGGCCTTCTCTTGTTCCTCACGAATCCTTCGTTCGTTCTCCTGCCTTCTGGCTTCCCGCATTTCTCTAGCATCGTATGCTATTTCGCGAACTAGTACCATCAGTTCACTATCCCCTCTTTGCCTTGAATTCCATACATTCCATCCTGACGTCCCTGCTGCCGGGACAATCTGCCTGGGCTGGTAGGGAACCAGCGCATTTGAGGAGGATGCAACCGATTCATGTGTTTGCGCAGGTGGTGGAAGAGGAGTAGAGTGGGGATTGGGGACAGGGATGGTCGAAGCGTAGGATGATGGCGTAGGCTGAGAAGTAGAAGGTACTGACGAAAACGGTAAGGGGGGAGCCGATGGTGCATAAGGAGAAGGAAGAGCGGGCGGGGCAGACGGAGGTGCAAGGAGAGGTTGAGAGCGATTGTATCCGTGCGCTGGCCCGCTAACAGGTCTACCGCTAATAGGTCCGTCATCCCTCCTTGGGTAAGGGCAATTTCTCGCCCAATGACCGTGCTGCCGACAATTAAAACATGCACCGTAGGGGACGAAGCTATCCCCCATTCTTCCAAATTATCCTCCGGTCACCTAATAACCCTCTAGGAGGGGACGAGGAACTAGGAACAGCACACAGACCACGACGAATCGTAAACAGTCTTCTTGCCGAAGCTGGCTTGAGATCGTCTTTCTGAAGTAACGGATGAGCGCATCCACCAATCTGCGAACATCACAATGGTTAACACGCTATAGCAGGTCGAGAGGAGAACCTCATGCCGAAGCACAAGACTAGCAATGACAGGGATGAACCCCGCGATCAACCGAAACAAACGATGGCAATCTCCCGGACGCTTCTTCTTGACAATCACATCTCCAGCAACCAGTCATCGACACGATCCACATGTAGTCGCTGAGGTAGCATGCAACAAGTGAGAAGAGAGAGAGAGAGAGAGAGAGAGAGAGAGAGAGAGAGAGAGAGAGAGAGAGAGAGAGAGAGAAGTGAAAGAGATGGAAAGTACACAAATAGCGCAAAGATAGCTTCCTTCGAAAAAATAACACAGCGGATGGAAGCTGCTGGCGAGTGTCCCCACCGGTTTCGGTCCTATCGCCAGTATAGGACCATCATCAGGGGACTTCCGATGAGCGCTTGGAGAACTGTAGCGAACTGCTGCTTTCATACGTTCCTCGTGCCGTCGAAATACTGGCGATAGGTGACCGGAGGAATTCAGAATTGTACTATTTACTATTTACTATTTACTAATCTGTTTCCTGTGGGAATTCAGAATTGTACTATTTACTATTTACTAATCTGTTTCCTGTGGAGTTGGAACTCAGGTCTAAAAAAAATAAAATAAAAAAAAATCAGGTCTGCATCCCAACAGCTCAGTGGTGTCCCACCTCAGCAAACCACCAGTGCACTTTTCTCCCGGGATGGAAACGCGCTGCGCGCCACAGAAAAACAAACCGGCACAGGCCTCCCTTTGGCTGGCACAGCCAGCCATTTTTCTCCCGCAGCCGAGTCCCAAAAGTTGCAGCAGCATGCAAGCCGCAACTTTGAAAACATAGCCGGGAAACATACTACGGGTTGTTTGAAAGTACACTTTGTTCAAGTTAATTTCGTTCGAAATTTCGTTCGCATGAGCCTAAGTTGACAAAGCTTCCAAAACAGTGATTATGTAAAAAAATACGGACATATTTTGCTTTTTGAACGAAATTGAAAATCCAAACTGTGGCCAACAAATTTGATGAAATTTTGGGTACGGTGTTCGGAAAACGCCCTGCCCCCTCGATGTATCTGGACTCAGCCAAAGTCACATACATCCAGGGGGTTACGACGTTTTCCAGAAGTTCAAATTAAAAAAATCACTCAGAAAAAAATAGCTCAAGATCGAGGATATTCAAAGGACATTCATAACAAAAAATCAGGAAACATAGCATCGAGGATATTACCTCATTGACAATAAGTAATTACAAACAGTTTTAAAAACAGACATGAAACTATATAGTCTTACAGAAATCAATCGTGCTATGCAAAAACTACAAACTTCAGACTCTTGCCTAGAAAACACTGATTCATAGAAAACACTGATTCATAGAAAACACTGATACATAGAAAACACTGATACATAGTCAAATTTACCAACTCAGAACAACTGTAAAGCTTGCAATCATGACCATGATTGCAACCGTCATGAAAATCATCAACAGGACATAGGTTGCTCACATAGAACAGTAATGCAAGGAGGACAAGCATTCTGGGCCAATCCAGCAGACGGTCTTGTGCGGAAAGGATGGGCAAAGAGGAGCTTCAACATCCACGAGCGTGCAGGTCCAGGGATTTGGAGGTTTAGGAGGTTTAGAAGCTGAGTGACTCCTTGATAGAAAAACAAAGTAGTTCCAGTTTCAGCGAATATGATAAAGTGGGGAAGGGAGGACAACAATGTGAGGCATCCCAGTAGGCACACTAGTACTGGCCTTTGGTCGGGCTGTACAGGCACTTCCGCTGCTTGATTCAAAATTCTCTGATGTGAATCTTATATTGAACAATTGTAATAAGGGACGCTGGGCCCGGCAAAACTGTCCCCAGCAGTCTCGTTCCTTTCAGCTTCAATTCTGAGTTCTGTTCACTACTGATGATGTTAAGGGACGCTGGACCCGGTTTCCAGCAGGTGCATTATTGTTGATGTTAAGGGACACTGGACCCGGTTTCCAGCAGTTAAAAAAAAAAAAAAAAAAGGGACGCTGGGCCCGCTTCTCAGCAGGTGTGGTCCTCACCAATAGATGGAGCCACCCCGGGATAGCTTGAGGCGACTGCTCCTACCAGCACCTCAAGCTGTCCCACGGGGCCGATTCTTCTCTTGAAAAAAAAAAAGAAAAAAGGACACCAACAATCACACCCTGACAACTCCAAAACAATTGTCCTCCTTTGCTGAAGAACAAACCACGCTGAAGAAACGCCGATGAGCAGGCACCTCTGCGAATCTTCTCCTCTACTCCCCCTCCACTTGCATGTGACGTCGCCCCTACCTCGCCGGAACCATCACCCTCGCACCCTTGGCATCCACGCACTTCAACTGGTGCACACGAGGCATCGAGCACGTAGCACAGAGAGAGCTCATCGACGCCGTCCTCCAACCTTGTGGAGCAACAGCCCCTCCCGCTCTCAACCCCGTCAGCCTGTGACGCAGGCAGATCGCTACACCAAGCAATCCCCAACATCCCCCACCAAGAAGATCCATGGAGTAAAAGAACCCCAAAACCACTTACCTGTCCACCGGACACTCCTCTAATCAGTGATGCTCACCTCTCGTTCGACACGTGGCATCTCAAGATCCATAGTACAACATAATTTTTTTGGCAATCGATGGTGCTGGAGACCATACCCATCGCAGCCCTTTGCAAACAGCCCCTTCATAGCAACCACGGCCTCTGCGCACGACACGACGCATCCTCGTCACCATCCTTCCTGTCGACGTCATCCATGCGCCCAAAGCCACTCAACGACCTCACCTCCCCCCCCCCCGACATTGTGGCGCGCCTCTGCAATGCACAAACATCTCCCTCCCTCGCGTTGTTGCTACCGCCCGGCGCCGCTCGGTCCGTCTGTGCGGGTTGGGTGCAGCGCTCCCGGCCGCGCTCCGCCCCGTTTCGAGCATTCCCTATGAGATCCACACCGAGAGAGAGGGGGGGCAATGTTACAAGGTTCTCTTTTTGTGAGTGCTACCTTCTTGTCCAGATAGCCAATGCTTTGCGCTAGATTCAAATTGAATATAGCACAAAACTTTGGCCAGATTCTCCTGGCAGTGGCAGTGGCACTGACAAGTGGAGAAGTTCGTAGCATTAAACCTTTCTCTCACTCACTCTCTCCCTCCCTCTCCCTCGCTCTCTCTCTCGACACACACGCACACACCTGTTTTGTGTGTGCACACTTGGGGAGGAGCAGGAGGAGTGGGAGGAGAGTCGATGGGCCAAGAAAAATAATGAAGAAGAAGAAGAAGAAGAAGAAGAAGAAGAAGAAGAAGAAGAGTAGGAGTAGTAGGGGGAATACGGACCATTTCTGAAAGCACACATCAAACCACAGTTCGTAACTTGAAATTAATGGGCGAAAAATTTGGTGGTGGGGACCACAGAGAAGATGCCTGCTAGGTAGATGGGCAGATGGCAAAAGAAGTGCCCGGGGGCCTACAGTCCACGCCCAGGCCCGTATAGCAAAGTTGGGCATGGGCAGGACAGGGGTATATGCAGAATTTCGGGGCATTTTCTGATACAGCTGTGTTTTAGGTGTATGTAATGAGATACCCCAACTCTTAGGGGCATTTCAACAATTTCCCCTTTTCCTCCTCTGGAATGAATGAACGGAAAAAAAAAAACACCCCAAGAGGATTCCTTTTCTTTTCGCTTCAAAAGAATCAGCAGTACAATGAGGCACAGCAATATATAGTACTCTACTTTTGCTGGCAGGCTTGTTTGATGCAAATGATAATCCACAAGCTCTGTCCCAGGAATGAGTCTTGGTTGCAGATACTTCCTAATTCTCTCCTCTCGTGTGAATGTAGATTTGTCCTCCCGCAACAGTTTTTCCCTCTCTTCCGTAGCCTGCACAAAGGTTCAAGAGGACCCCCATGCTCAACTACCCCCTCCATGCCCCACAAGCCAACCAGAGCACAGAGACAAACACACACACACACACACACACACAGAGTATTATAATAACAAATTAGTAACTCATTAATAACTTGAGCAGACAACTAAACACAAACACATATAATGACAATAAAAAAGGCCTGAAACTGAAAGACCGTCCTGTCCAGATTCGACAGGGAATTGAATTGGTTGGGCTTAAAAGAATTAGCCTTTTTTTTAATGATTATTAGGAAAAAAAACACACACACTCAAATAACCAATTTCTTTTTAGAATTACATAACAATAACTGATTAATAACTTGAACATGGCTTTGGTGTATACCATATAGAAGTATACACACACACACATTTATATGAGTTTCACCGACGAAACAGTTTGTCACAGCCGCTCGTTTGTTGTCCTCTTCTCTCTCTCTGCCTACGGTTTACCAGGCAGTTCTGTTTGTGACGATATATAGCTTGTGACGATATATATATGGTC